ATGCAATTTTTTAAATGTTTCAATTCCAAATAAAATAACTAAGCAAACACACAGTTTCCCGATTTTAAAAATATTTTCCGAGTATTTTTAAGAAAAGTAGATCTTTCATGTTTTAGTCTGGCTATTTGTCGTCTGTCTGACTGGCGCTTGTCGTTTTTTTCGATTTTTATTAGTCAAATAATCTTCGAAAGTAATTAACCGATTGTTCCCATATTTTAAATAATATATTGTGACGATATTGTGTAGATGATAAAGGGCTAAACCAATTTTTTTGTTGCAGCTTTTTTGTAATTTTCCCCCCCTTCTTTTTGCCATTTTTCCCGTTTTCTCTTTTTTTCGCCAGTTTTTCGTTTCTCTTCTTTCTTTTTACCCTTTTTTATAGCCGTCATTTTTGTCGCTCTTTTTTGTTATTTTTTGTTCTTTTTTCGCTCATTTTTTGCTTCCTTCTTATATTTTTTTTTGTTGCATAATTTTTGTCATCTGTTTTTGTCACATTTTTTGGTCCCTCTTTTAGCTTTTTTTAGCAATTTTTGACGCGTTCTTATTGTTTTGCAGTTTAGTAATTTTTGTTGCCATTTTCATTGTTTTTTTGTTGTTTTGTTGCCTCTCAATGTGGTGAGGTCACCTGAAAATTTTACGCAGTAAATGTTGGTCCAATTTTATAAAATAACATACTGATTTTGTACGTTCCAAATCCAGATTTTTTTACTGTAGTTTTTTGTCGTTTTTGTCTTCGACCCTTTTTTCGTTTTTTTGTGTCTCTTTTTTGGCACCTTTTGTTTTGTTTTCATCTTATCACCCTCTTTGTTATTGTTTTTATTGCTTTATTCGTGGCAACTTTTTCGCTTACTTTTTCTTCCTTTTTATTCTCGTTTTTGTCGTCGCATTTAGTTGTGGTTTTTCTCACAGTTTTTGGTTCCTTTTTAACTTTTTTTGTCAATTTTTTGTCGCTTTTTTTATAGGTTTTTTTTCTTACTTTCTTTTGGTCACCGTTTTTTATAGACTTATTTTTGTGGTCATTTTTGTCGACTTTTTAGTATTTTTTTTTCTCCTTGTTGCCTTTCTTCCTTTTTTCGCATCTATCGTCATTTTAAATCTAATTTAGGAATTTGGTGTAGACGGTACAACCTTAACTAAAATTTGTCTAATCGTCTCCCCCAACAATGCGATGACGTCACGTGAAAATGCTTCATAGTGAATGTTGGTCTAGTGTTATAAAATAACCTACTTCTGCACCTGTGGTTTATGAATCCGTCTTGATTTTTACTCTCGACGCCCAGGTTTTTGCAAAAAAAATCAAAATATAATTTATAACATCTTACATTTTAACTTTGAAATAGCAAATCTGAGTGTTCGCAAATCTAATAATAGAAAACTCATTTGAAACACAGGCATGACCTGATCTGATCTGAAAATTTTGCATAGTAAATGTTCATTCAATTTTTTAAAATAATATACTGCTGTGGTTTATGAATCCGTCTTGATGTTTAACCTGCGACGTCCAAATTTTTATTGTAGCTTTTTGTTTGATTCCTTCTTAGTCGCATTTTTTGTTGCCTTTTTTCTCATAAGACTAAATCTTTCTTTTTACAGGTTTTTTTTTACTTGTTTTGCTATTTTTTGTCTTATTCCCTTTTTTTCGCATTTTTTATTGTGATTTTTGTTACATCTTTTTTGTTGTAATTTCTTTGCTCCTTTTTTTGTCACTTTTTTCTTGTCTTTTTTGTGTTTTTTATCGTCATTTTTTCGCGTATTTTTTGCTGTCCTTTTATCACCGTTTTCTTGGTCGCATTTTCTGTAAATGTGGCTCGAATTTTATAAAATAACATACTCCTGTCCATCTTTCTTAATTTTTTACCTTCGACTTCCAGATTTAAAAAAACGGGTTTTATGTACTATACCCCCATAAATTCTCAATTCAATTCAATTTATATTGTAATTTTCTTGTGTTTTTTCTTGACTTGTTTTTCCCCATTTTTTGTTGTCATTTTTGTTGGTTTTTGGTTGACTTTTTTCTCATAATTTTTGTCGCTTATTTCTTGCTTCCGTTTTATTGTTGTTTTTCCATTGCATTTTTTGTCGCCTTTTTTTAGCTACATTTTTTTAACTTTGAAATCCAGATTTTTTCTTATAGTTTTCTTGCCGTTTTTTCTTGCTTCGTTTTTTCTCTTTTTCCCTTCTCTTTTCGGTTTTTTTGTTGCGATTTTTGTATCTCTTTTTTGTTGATTTTTGTCACCTTTTTTGCCTTTTTAATGGTCATTTTTTCGCTTATTGTTTACTTCGTTTTTAATATCGTTTTGTGTTCACATTTCATTGTTATCTTTTTTCTCATATTTTATGTTGCCTTTTCACCCTTCTTCTGGGCTATTTTTTCTCCTTTTTGTAGGTTTTTTCTTATTTTTTACATTTTTGCATTTTTTTGTTGTTTTAAATGTAATTTAGGAATTTGGTGTGGACGGAACAACCTTAACCAAAATTTGTATAATCGTCCCCCCAACAATGTGATAACGGAACCTGAATAGTAAATGTTAGTCCGATTTTATAAAATAATATACTCTTACATCTGTGGTTTATGAATCCGTCTTAATTTTTTACCCTCGACAGATTTTCAGAAAAAAAATCAAAATTGTACATACATATTGTAATATTTTACATTTTAACTTTGAAACAGCAAAGCCGAATGTTCTCAAATCTAATAATGGAAAAACTCACATTTTGCACAGTAAATGTTCGTCCAATCTTATAAAATAATATACTCTTGCCCTTGTGGTTTATGATCGGTTTTGATATTTTACCTGCGACGTCCAGATTTGTATTGTAGGTTCTTGGTTGATTTCTTTTTGGTCCCATTTTTGTTGTCTTTTTTCTCACATATTAAGGTGCCCTTTTTTTCACTTTTTTGCAATTTTTAGTAATTTTTTTTCTTGTCTGCCTTTTTCTACTCTTCTCCCCTATTTTATTCGCATTTTTTTGTCGTTATTTTGACTGCTGTCTTTTCTGTTTTTTTTTTCTTTTTTCTGTTGGGTTTTCCATTGACTTTGTTTTGGACTTTTTTGTCATCATTTTTTCGTGTAGTTTTTGCTCCTTTTTTATCTTCGTTTTTTTGGCCGCAATTTGTAATTTTTTTTCCTGCTTTTTTTACAGTCACCAGAAAATTTCGCATAGTCAATATGCCTCGAGTTTTATAAAATAACATACTCCTGGACCTGTGGTTTATGAATCCGTTTGATTTTTTACCTGCCACATCTAGAGTTTTTAGTTGATTTTTTCTCTAACACGTTATGTTTTCTTTTTGGCAGGTTTTTTCACATTTTTTTCTTGTCTCTTTTTTTCCCTTTTTTCGCCTTTTGTTTTGTTGCTTTTTTCGTTGAGTTTTTTGTCGCTTTTGTTTTATATTCATTTTTGTCGCATTTTTCTGTGGTTTGTTTTGTTGTATTTTGTATCGTCATTTTTTCATTAAATTTTTCGACCATTTTTATTGTATTTGGCCGCATTTTTGTTGTCTTTTTTGTTAAATTTTTTAGTTCCTTTTTTACTTTGTTTGGGCCATTTTTTGTTTCTTTTTTTACATTTCTTCGCTGTTTGTTATACCCTTTTTTTTGTCATTGTAAAAGTAATTTAGGTTTTTTAGATGGTATAATTTGTATAATAATCCCCACCAACAATGACATGACGTGACCTGAAAATATTATTTTGTAAATGTTACTTAAATCTAATAAAACAACATACTCCAACAGTTGTAGTTTATGAATCCGTCTTGATTTTTTACCGGCAATGGCACTGTATAAATTGTAACATTTTATAATATGGCTTTGAAAGATTAAAACCGAATGCTCCCCAATCTAACAATGGAAAAATTCACTTCAAACATCCGGATGCTATGCTTCTTTACTTTAGTTTCACAGTACACATATATTATTGTAATTTATAGGCGTTATCATGAAAAAATAAAATTTTATGTCGTACTGTATTCTATGGGATTGGTGAGAACTCGTCTAAAAGTATTTAGACAGAATTTCTGTCGCTTCTTAAGTACAATCGTCAGATCCAGTTTCTTCGAAAAATTATAAAATTTGATTAAGCAAGGTTTTATTTATTTTACAAGTAAAGAAAATACGGATAATACCAGTCATAGTGTAAAATAAATTGTAAATTAATTGTGATCAAATTCAGGGCGGATTCATGAGCCACTTCCGCGAGAGTATATTTTATTTTATAAAATTTAGAAAATCTTTACTACGCAAAATGTTGAGGAAACGTCATCAAATTGTTGGTGGGGATGATTAGACAAATTTTGGTTAGCGCTTTACCAACTATGCGAGTATTTCTGTATTGTGTTCTGTATTTTGATTCATTCGAGAACTTTTAATTTTTTATAGCAATAACAATAATAATATTAATGGAAATGTTTGTGCCACGTCAACTAATTTATTGGTTTTATGATCAAGCGACTTTTATACATTACATTATTTATAATTTGTAATAAAAATTAAAGTAGTCCATTCAAGGCTAAAGCTTTCAGACACGATCATTAAATTTTATGCTGCAAATTCTTCAAACGAGCAGAATGATTCCTGTAATAACTCTTAATTTTCTTTAAAAAGTTTCTGGGTTTCATTACTTTAAGTGCAGCTGGAACAACATTTAACAACTTTATGCAAGAGCAATTTATTTCAGTCGTTGATTTTGTAAGTTTTATTTTACTTCAACTCTACTCGTCTAATGGCATAGTGAACTTATTTAATTTATGTGTAACAACCATCCTATATTGATTATATTTTAAATTAAAGACATTTTATTAAATTTTTATTTTAATAAAATACCCACGACCTTTCCTAGTCCAAACTGTTTAAGACAATCTAGAAATACTTGACTTGTTGCTTTTTAACGAATCAAAGAAAGGACTCTCAAATTTGCACACCAAAAATATTTAATTAAAATAACTAATAATAATCATAGAAATTTTTTTGCATTTTTAATGCCGACTTTTCCTCTTCCAGATTTCATCCCTCGTAGAACAACATGGTACCGTGGGGGCCTTACGCCCCTCGGCGGTGGCGAGAGTGGGTCAGGCCGTCAACGTGGCGGTGGAGCGTTTCGTCACCGTCGGCGAGGCGATCGCAGACGATTATCCTGAAGTTCGACAAGGCATGTACGAAGCTTGCAAGGAAGCGCGCCAAGCCGGTAAGCGCTTTTTGTTCCCTGCCGGCGGCGCGGCGGCGGTGCATCGCATGCCTGCCACCTGACCCGGATCATTTCTGCCGGTCAACGAGCGAGAACGTGCCCGACACACGGAAATTATTTTTCAACTCCCACAGGTTTTCCTACCTCCATAAACGAGGCACGACGCCTAATCTGATCCTTCGCGACGATGGGGTTATAAGTCATAGGGTCCGAGCTACGCCTGATTTCAATTCGGTTTTTACGGCAGGTCTGGGGGATTAAAAGACGGGATTTTTCGAAGCGTGAACGGGAATTTTTTGTAAAATTACACTATTCGTTAATGTGATTTTCTAAATGTTGCGTTTAGCGTCTACCCTTCCACCTTAATCATGAATTTCGAGCATGGCCGCCCTTGCCTCAACAATAAATTTTAATTATGCAAACAGTGTACCTACAGTACAATCAAATTAAGGGCACCTTCTGCCGGCGTAAAATTCACGTGAAGCGCTTGGGTCGGCAATAAAGTTCCGTTTTTACCATGTTAAATGACGCTTCGCGTTGAGAGGTGCCGCTTACGTCGCGTCAAATTATTTCGGGGATGTTCAAATTTCACTTAACATCAGCTTCTTTTGGGGCATAATTTTTCATGGAATTTTAATCGCCGCCATGAAGCGTCGCTTTTATTGAACGAAGTTTTTGCGCTTGTGTGGAGACTGGCGCTTGCATGAATGAGAAAATTGCCTACTTTGCACCCCTTTTCAAAAAAGATAAATGTTTACCTAGTGCAAATTTGTTCGGTAGTCACGTTTATCGAGGAACGCTACGCGGTCGGGGTTTCGAGGCACAGGTATTCTTGATCCCCTGGATGCGAATGTAGCGGAAGAGGGTGATTTACATGAGCTTTTTCAGGAAATTTACATGCTATTTTGCGAAATTTAATATCGGGGAGGGTAGGCGCGACATTGTTGTTTATGTGGGCTGGGTGTGAAATGTGAACTAATTGAAATCGACAGACAGACAATATTTTATCGGTTAGTGATGCGACTGGATGGGGAATGTATGGGTCTAGTGGGTCGTAAGTTCGGAAAGAAGTAAATCGATTCTGGAAAAAAAAGGTTAGGAACAAAGTGCAGAAGTTTGGAGAATGGAAAAATTGCCAGGATTATCACCTTATCAGTGTCTTTCTTAGTAGAATTCTAACACATCTGTTTGTGCTTCGATTCATGTGGTGTTCATGGTAATAATTTGATCTTCTGAATCCTTAACAAATATTGTTGACAATTTCACTCCTGTGTGAAGACACTTATTAGAAATGTCAAATTTGTCAGTTTGCAATCAGATAAAAGGGAAGGTAACTTTTTATCGACGGATAAAAGTTGGGGTGACTTTTTATTCCTAAATCCAATGATATTTGAAACAAGTCTTCATGGTATTTTTTAACCACAGTTTGAATGTCATTGAAGTTAAAACGAGTCTAAAGATGATGAAACTGTTTGTCCGTCAAATTATTTAATGAACTCATTGATAAAAAAAAATAAAAATAAAACATTAGATCGTCTATTCCTACGTCACAATGAGATAGCAACAATTATTTTTCATATTTTGACCGGGAATTTAAGACATTTTCAGGATTAACTTAACAATATTTAAACAAATTGCTTCGTTTTTAATACCATCGTGTTTTTAGTAAAACGGTTTTCGGTTTGATTATCATATATTAATAGTTACTCACCATATTTGAGCATTATAAATAATAATAATTATGTCTAAATTTTATTTAATTATATCGTGAAAATCTATAGCTTTAACCGATCAACTTCAAGCGTTTCGAAATTTTTTCCAAAATATAAACATTGTCGAGTAAACTAATCACGGAACCCGATAAATTAAAACTGATGTCGTACTTACCCCGTTTTCAGTCCTTTTCGGAAAAATATCCATTTTATTTCGTGTTCACAGCACCAACATAACACATTTCACTAATATTTATTAATAATAAATTAGAAATCCGCGAAACGAGCCCTACTTGTAAGCCACACCGGAGCTCCAATGTTGCTGCCATCAGACCGAAATCTAAACTGAACACAAGGGGCCGAAAAATGCGACCTCTGAACAGATAGCTCACGTGACAGTGACGTCATCGTACGTCACGATGAGATTGCAAAAATTATCTTTCTTATTTTGGCCGGGAAATTGTACATTTTCGGGGTTAATTTAATAATAATTAAACAAATTGCTTTGTTTTTAATTAAAACAAACACAAAGGACCGAAAAATGCGACCTTTCAACAGGTAGCTCACGTGACATTGACGTCATAGTACGTCACGATGAGATTGCAAAAATTATCTTTCTTATTTTGGCCGGAAAATTGTACATTTTCGGGGTTAATTTAATAATAATTAAACAAATTGCTTTGTTTTTAATTAAAACAAACACAAAGGACCGAAAAATGCGACCTTTCAACAGGTAGCTCACGTGACATTGACGTCATAGTACGTCACGATGAGATTGCAAAAATTATCTTTCTTATTTTGGCCGGAAAATTGTACATTTTCGGGGTTAATTTAATAATAATTAAACAAATTGCTTTGTTTTTAGTTAAAACAAACACAAAGGACCGAAAAATGCGTCCTTTCAACAGGTAGCTCACGTGACATTGACGTCATAGTACGTCACGATGAGATTGCAAAAATTATCTTTCTTATTTTGGCCGGGAAATTCTACATTTTCGGTGTTAATTTAATAATATTTAAACAAATTGCTTTGTTTTAAGTAACTTTTCGTTTTGAAGAAAACGGTGTTCGATTTAATTATCATATATTAATACTTATCGTATTTAAACATTGTAAATAATATTAATTATGTTCAAATATAATTTAATTATATCGTAAAAATGTATAGTTTTGATCGACCAACTTCAATCGTTTCGAAAATTTCCCCAAAATTTAAACTTTGTCGAGGAAACGAATCACGGAACCTGTTAAATTAAAACTGAAGTCGTACTTACCCTGTTTTCGGTCCAAACACCTTCGAAAATTATTCCATTTTTATAAATCCACCACTTACGAAATTTTTTACTTTTTTCCCAGTAAATTCGAAGAATAATCAATTTTTCAGAATCTCTCCTTGACTCATTTCGGAGTACTTTTCGAAAATTATCTAGAGAATCCTGTTTGTACATATGTATTTCGATTTGCAAAAATTGTTTACGTTGATTTCTTACAATATTCGAATCAGTTTTTCAAAATCTTCAAAATGAAGTAAGGCCGTTTTTGGTAGAGTTTAAAAATTTGATTTTGAAACCAAGTATTTTGAAAAATTTTGATCTAGGAGGTTCAACAGTGATGTTTATGGATTTAGCTCATCAAGATCCAATTTCTTAGTGTTTTTCAAAATCTTCAAAATGAAGTAAGGCCGTTTTTGGTAGAGTTTAAAAATTTGATTTTGAAACCAAGTATTTTGAAAAATTTTGATCTAGGAGGTTCAACAGTGATGTTTATGGATTTAGCTCATCAAGATCCAATTTCTTAGTGTTTTTTTTTTATTTTTAGGTAATTATGAGAACACTTCAAATTTTCTATACCCCCCCCTTTGAAATTTTTTACTTTTTTCCAAGCACCTTCGAAAATTCGATTTTTTTTACATTTTTCCTAGTAAATTCGAAAAATAAAAAAAAATTTCAAAATCTCTACGAAATTTTTAACTCATTTCGGAGTTCTTTTCGAAAATTATCAAGACATTTTTGTTTGTATTTCGATTTGCAAAAATTATTTCCGTTGATTTCTTAGAATATTCCAGCCAAGTTCTGGAATCTTTGGAAATTTTTGTCTTTTTTCCAAGTACTTTCGAAAATTATTCCATTTTTCTAAATCCACCCCTTAGGAAATTTTTTACTTTTTTTCTGGTAAATTCGAAAAATAATCGATTTTTGAAAATCTCTCCTTGTGAAATTTTTGACTCATCAAAATTGTATTTTAATTTGCAAAAATTATGTTCCTTGATTTTTTTGAATATTTCAAGGTGTGTTTATCGAATTACCTCATCAACATCTAAATAGATTCCTGATTCTTTTTTCGATTTTTAGGTAATCATGACAAAAGTTAAAATTTTCAATAACCCCCCCCCCCCCCCCCCTCCTTTGAAATTTTTAACTTTTTTTCTAAGCACCTTCGAAAATCATTCCATTTATTTAAATCCACCTGTACGAAATTTTTTACCTATTTCTTAGTAAATTCGAAAACTAATACATTTTTAAAAATCCCTCATTATGAAATTTTTCACTCATTTCGGAGGACATTTCGAAAATTATCTTGAAATTTTTGTGTGTATTTCAATTTGTAAAAATTATTTTCGTTGATTTCTAGAACATTCCAACCAATTTTTCAGAATCTTCAAAATGAAATAAGGCCATTTTTGGTTTGGTTTTTTACAAATTCCTTTTTGAACCTGAATATTTCGAAAATCTAGATCTGGGGGTTCAACGACCATGTTTATCGAATCAGCGTGTCAAGATCTATTATGTCCCAGAATTTTTTGTAGATTTTTAAGTAACCTTGAGAAACGCTCAAATTTTCTATCACCCTCCCCCTTTGAAATTTTTAAATGTTTTCTAAGCACCTTTGAAAATTATTCTATTTTTCTAAATCCACCTCTGACCAAATGTTTTACCTATTTCTTAGTAAATTCGAAAACTAATCAAATTTTCAAAATCTCTCCTAATGAAATTTTTGACTCATTCCGGAGTATTTTTCGAAAATTATCTAGAGCTTTTTGTTCGTATTTCGATTTTTTAAAAATTATTTAGGTTGATTTCTTACAATATTCCAATCAATTTTTCAGAATCTTCAAAATGAAGTAAGGCCGTTTTTAAAAATTTGATTTTGCAACCAAGTATTTCGAAAAATTTTGATCTAGGAGGTTCAACGGTGATGTCTATCGATTTAGCTCATCAAGATCCAATTTATTAGTGCTTTTTTATTTTTGGGTGATTATGTGAACAGTTCAAATTTTCTATTCCCCCT